TTAAGATATATAATATTCATATTATGTAAATAAATACATAATATGAATTAGAAAAATATACAATAAAAGGAAAGTGTCAAAAATGCTCTTTATTTTCTGTGTATAAGTAATGTGCTTTAACTTTATGTTTAACGTCTTTGAACAATGCTTCGTATTGAGTTTTTTACAAATTAGCTGTGATTAGTTGCTTTAAATGTCAGTCAGGCAGTCAACTTTCTGTTTTAAGTGGGTAGTTATAAGCCATAATAAGCTACAAAGTGAACCAGATTTATGCCAAAAGTGACAGGTCAACTTCCTCCATAGCAAGGATGATTCCCTAACCCTCACCAACACTGTCCCAACGCTTCCCCAACCCCCCATTAAACCCTTTTTACGGGTGGGCTAGTGGCAATCCCACAACCCCACATAATACCACACGGATGAAATATCTATAGAAGAGAACGAGGTTCCTTCATATGTGCTGTGGTGACTCAGGTGACTCAAACCAAAGGTTTTTTCTTTTTTGGTCCATTTAATTAAAGCTATGTGAAATTGTGTTCCCCTGGTTCTCCAAATACTATACTATTACATTTTTCTTTACTCAACAAGGCAGATTGACTTGCCATATGATTTCAGTGAAGAAAAGAGAGAAACGTTCTCCTTTGTTTATTTTGATGTTAAAACCTTGCCTATAATGAAATTGTTGCTGAAGAATTTTACTACGACTGGTTTAATTTATCGCCTGAGAACATTTAACACCCTAAAAGGCATTGCAAGTTCAATTACCCAATTACCCAAATTTAATTACCCAAATGTTTATTTTCAGCTAAATGAAAAGTTTAATTGGTGTTTCATTAAAAAGAAAAAAAATAATGTTGGTGCTTTAGTAGTCTCAATCCCCTATTCTACCAACTGTGTCCACTCTTGAAACCCTTTAGGTATTTCCATGAAAAAAGATGCTCTAAAACAGAAACCAGTAACTAGTCTAGACTGATTTAAAAACTGCTTTCCTTGCTTTCCATTATCAACAAAATTTTCTGCATTGGAAACTTCCGAAGTAAACTTGCACACGGCACCATTTTGGTGGAAAAGTTGTATCAGTGTTTGAACCTTGGTTTAATTTCAGGCTTAAAACTAAGTAGAATGACTCAAATGCTGCCCAAAGTGTGTTTTTGATAAATGTATTATTATAAAGAACCATCTCTCATCCTCTGCACTGACTCTAATGCGCTTTGTCAGCAGTTCACGCCTGTGCGCCTTTGAGAATTTCTCATTTTCTCTTTGCATCGTTAAACGAATATCATCCCAAGACAAATGCAAATGGAATTTGTATTTAGATAGGGGGTATATAGAATGTGTACATAATTCACTAATATTTACGGGAAGAAAATAATTATTAAGAGAGTCTAGGATCTTTTCATATTTGTTAAACTGACAGATGGAATTCTGGGTAATCTATAAGGAAACTAGAGGGAAATTAGCGGGGTCAACTGCAGCCAGACTGTTAAGGCCCTGATATACTTCAAACGAAGTTCTTCTTCGTTTGAGGGCAAAAAGAAGTTCGAAAAGGCTAAGCGACGGTATACTGTTTTCGAACATTCCGACACCCCCGCGCTGCTGGAGGCGGGGTTGTAAACACGTGTCACACCGCCCGCGTGTACCCCCTAAACACAACAACGATGGCGGCTGTGAGAGAAGAACAGTTTCATAAACATCTGGCAGTAGCATTGATCTATTCAATGGCAAAGAAAAAGAACAACAACAAGCAACGTAGATGGTATGTGCGTGCGTCCACTTAACGAAAACAGAAAGAATGATGGCGAGTTTGCCCTTTTTATTCAGCAAATGCGGAGCACAGCGTGCACAGCCCGCAAGATAGTCGCAGAGATGTGTTCTCCTGTCTGGCCTCCGTAAAATGAGAAACGAACCGGGGGTAAAAAAATTGCACGTCAAAGGCGGCGGAGTTCCAGAACACACCCACCGACTGCGTAATCGCCACGGACCAATAGGAGCTCAAAGGTGTTTAGGAGGCAAAATGAACTCCCCCAAAAAGTTCGCTTTGGTGAGCTGTTTCGAACTGCCAAAACGAACTTCGTTTCGGCCTGATTTTGTTCGAAATTACGTCATTTCAGTTCGTTCTTCAATTTCGTTTGAAGTATATTGGGGCCTTTACTGATGTGACAATAAAAGAAGGAAACATGCAAACAATTGTTAACATAAAAAAACACCATTATTTCATGACCCTAATACTGATATAATATTTTTCTGCCAGTGTCCCTGATGATTCCCACCCCTAACACATCAGACATATACAGTAATACGTTTATTAAAGATTCCGTTTCTTCTCCAGCTTCTGAACACTTTAAAGAGAAGTGGTGCCATACATATGTGCTTACTTATGTGTGATTTTGAGAGAGAGAGAAAGAGAGATGGAGCTGTAGATGGAACACAAGAACACAAGATTGAAGCAGACAGGAAGAGATGGAATGAGAGAGGCCCCACAGCAAATTGCCAGTGTCTGAGATTGCCAGTGTGAAGATCTCGTGGTCCCAGTGTCCATCTGCTTCCTGTAATGAATTCACAAGCACTTTGAACAATAGGGACAATGAACGAGTCGAACAGGCTGTGGGGGATGGAGGAGAGAATGGAGAGAGGGCAAGGGTAGAGGAGGAGGGGAAATGTGCGAAGGAGAAGGGTACAGAAGAGAAAGAGACAGGCAAGACTGTTCTGCATCCTGATTGGCTGGAAGCATGGTCGATGGATAGGCACGCTGAGCAGAATGTAATCATAGATGTGCGTCACCATCTTCAGCCAGCGGCCAGCAGCTCTGACTCTGAGCAGCTCTCTGTTTTTAAATGACTCCAGGGGATCTCTGTATTCAATTCACAACTGGAAAACATTAAGAGTTCTTTGCTTGGTTAGTAAGTATCTCCTGATCCCACACACTAGACACAAACTGCGAGACAAATTCAAGGCTTTCGTTTTTTATTCATATGTGCAAAGATCTGCATGAGGCAGTTTGATCGTGTTTTATTTTTGCCATTGTGTGAATTTCCATATCATTTAATTTTCTAAGGCAAATCTGCCATTCAGGCTGTTATAAATGGCTCATCTTGGCATGAAGCATTTCTTCGAACTGTGTCTATCTTTAACCCATAACCTTGGATGAGTTACAGTAACTCTGCCCAGAGCTGCTCAGTGCTTGAGGCTGATGTTAATCCTGTTCTTTTCTCCTGAGCATTGTGTGTAAACTTCTCAAAGAACCTTGCCCCAGATGGCCCTCCTGTGTAATCCTTATGTCATTCCAAACCTGTGCATCTTCCTTTTTTGTAAAACACCAAATAGGATTTTTTTTTTTTGCTTTAGCTGATTTTGTCCATACAGTAAAAGCTCATTTGATTCAATGGGATTTTGTGATATAATTTTCACTTTGGGGTTAAACCCAGAATACCCTGGGAATCGTGAAAATTTATCTTAGGCTGGCAAAGGGACTTGCTATTGTTGGTAGTCTTTAGTCACTGCAGCATGCAGCTTTTCCAAATGTTTTCTGAACAGTAATGAGATGCACAGCACAATAGAGCTTAGACAGTTTTTTTTTCTTTGAGTGGTTTGTGGTCAAAGGTCGAGGACTGCCACATCCTCCTCTTCCTCTACAGCATTCATATTAAACACTGTTGAGAAGATCTCTTTCTGAATATGCACAGGCCATTGACATATGTTTGTTTATTTATTTAAAATAATATATTTTCCGTGTAGGTTTTTGCCATTTAGACTTTGAAGCAGTAATAGAAAGTTTGAATCATGTACTTATCACTGGTTTGAACTTTTCAAGCTTTAAAAGGAAACAAAAGTGCAATAAATATGAGTGCTAGATTCCAGAAGTTCCGATGCCATTTGATAGATCTGTGTGACAAACAAAAATGAAATTTAAACAGTTATTTAATGATGATCTTCCTTTCCAGTGAATTAAATAAAGAATAATTAACCCCAAAGTGAAAATTCTATCACAAAATCCCATTGAATCAAATGAACTTTTACTGTATGGACAAAATCAGCTAACGCAAAAAAAAAAAAATCCTATTTGGTGTTTTACAAAAAAAGTAAGATGCACAGGTTTGGAATGACATAAGGATTAATTGATGACAGAATTTTCATTTTTAAACTATCCCTTTAACCAGTGCAACTGGACCATTGAATTGGTCAGATAATATTAAGTACTGGATCTTTCTGTTTCGTCAGCAAATTATTTAGAGCATTTTGCAAAGTTGAACAAATGCTTCTTTGAAATGATCATCAAAATGATTTTCGTTCATGAAACAGATGTTGATGTTTCTTTCATGAATTCTCAAGAATATGCCTAGGAAAGCTAATGTCAAGATTTTCATATATGATCACCATATCAAAGCTAATTTAGACCAAAAAAAAACCATTGTGGTTTGGATCTTTTTTTTTTTTTTGGGCACAGGCTCTGTCGCTTTCCCCTTTTGACTCTCTGGAGTTCAAGCATTCTTTTTGTTTTGAATGAGTGATTCCCCAAAAGGTCAACCAGGGTTGCTGTTCATAACTGGAAATGTTCAATGCTTGCTAGCTGACTAGTTGAAACAACACTACTTGTTGTAACAACAAGCTGCATCCACACATGCTATATTGTAGTCAGACTGTATTCTGTGCACATGGATGTGACAAACAATATTGAATGACATGGGCACTAAATTTGAAATCTGACTTGACAGCTCAAAATGTAAATTAATAATTTAGGCACAGTGAATCAGGATAATGCCAAAATATGAATTTTTATAACCTGATTTTTTTTATATATATGTACTCGTTCAGTAGTTACATTTTGCTCATTTTTAACAAAAATGTTTAAAAAATCTTCTGTGGTGCAGCTTAAAAAATTTAAGTTAGACTATAAATAAGATGATTGCCATTTTATTGTAGTTTGATATATTGCCACTTATTTCTATAACTTCATTTATCTAAATTTGGATTTTGTCTTTAAATTTCCACTTCTCTTGCAGTGCCAGACTCTGTTAAACCCAATCCCAGCATCCCTTCAAGCCCCATTCTGACCCTGAACCTGCCTGTACCCTCTACTGCCACCACCAGCAATGGCAAGCGTAGCCCTTGTAATTCCCTCCAACAGCATTTACCTCCATTACAGCAGCCCAGTCCCCGATATGTACCCAGAGAGGTTCCTCCACGCTTCCGACAGCAGGAGCAGAGGCAGCTACTGAAGAGGGGTCAACCTTTACCTACAGGCGCACTGAACCCGACCTCTGCTTGCACTCAGTCCGGGGTCATCTCTCCTCCCGAGACACCCACCAGCAAACGGCACACGGGTGAGAATCATGTTCTGTTTTTGAAGGAGAAACTAAGATATTTATTTTGACAGGCTTTTCACTTGACCAATGTCAGGTCTGCGAATAGAGATGAACTGTGGTATTTTTTTATCATTTGGTGTCTTGATAGAGAGATTGTATTCCTCCTCATGGCCCAGCTGGGATGTAGAAGTGTAGAGTGGCTATGATTTAAAGACTGAGGGTGGGATTGTGTCCCCCACCCTGCTACGCCCTAACAAAGCCTGCCATTGACCTCTTAAGTCTCGTTCTAAGCCCGAGGTCATGGGAGCGGCATGGTTGAGGGACTCTTGTCTCTAGTGTTTTTTTGCAATTATTGTTTACTGGGCCCCTCCCCTACATCCCTCTGGTTGATGACTGAGAGTGTTTGCGATTCACTCCAATCTGGTTTAATGGCAGGTGGAAGAGCAGAGCTTGGACAGAGGGGAATCCCTGGGAACAGGGGCTCACCAGCTGTTTCATGGCTCCTAATGGCTTTGTCAACTCTTGAATCATTATTGTCTTCACTGTTTCATATGCATTTGATTTTCTGCTAATTAATATTTTAGATGTGTGTGCTTCTGGGATTCAAACACCATCAAAAATCCAAGTTAAGCAGAGAACAAGTTTATTTGAAATTGTGAAATGGCCTTTTGAACTGCAAAACCTATGGTTTAATTAGTAAATAAATCTTAGAGAAGCTCTATGTGGTTTTGTTTTTACCTGGCCCTGATCAGACACATTTCTGTGGAGCATTTACACAAGATATATTGCTGCATTTAAAGACAGTCAGTTGTCTTTCTATGGGTTTTTAAGTTTGGCCATTTTTACTCTGCATCTTAATTGACAAATGCAGCCTTCCTGTAGCTCAAACAGAGCATGGTGCTAGAAATGGCAAGGTCATTGGTTTGATTCCCAGAAAAAGCAAGAGCTGATCAAATGTTTAACTGGAGTACAATGTAAGTTGCTTTAGATAAGAGCGTCTGCTAAATGCATAAATGTAAATGTCGTAACTGGACACTCAAAAAAGATCTCAACTGTCAAAGATGTCCTTCCAGAGAGGGTTGTACTGTGCAAACAATAGTACAGCATGTTAATAATAAATGAATAAATAAAGAAATCTGTTCTTGGAAAGTAGATGGAGACAATATTACAACTAAAGAGAACATAAAAGGGATCCAAGTCCACTTTCAATCCATGTGCAGTGTAAATACAAAGAATACTGAGTTCTCTCCTCTTTTGGGTCAGCTGAAAGAGTTCCAGTTCTTGGTAGAAGAACAAGTTTTGAGAGCTGCTTTTTCAGTGTGATTTTAATAACTTTTTGTTCTTTAGTTTTAAAGGAGACATATTATGCCCCTTTTTACAATATGTAATATAAGTCTCTGGTGTCCCCAGAATGTGTCTGTGAAATTTCAGCTCAAAATACTTCACAGATAATTTATTATATCATTTTGAAATGCCTATTTTGAGTGGAAGCAGAAACACGCTGTTTTTCGGTCCTGTCTCTTTAAATGCAAATGAGCTGCTGCTCAC